ATCTATGGGAACAAAGAAAACAAATCAAAAATGCCAATCCATTCGAAATGCCATTCAAAATGGGAGACAGCGACAGTGCCCCAGCCCCCACCCCCCACCACCGCCGTACACAAAATATACAACAATTACACAATGCTTTATGGTACGAAAACATGGGGTCCATAAAAAAAACGACCATTTCATCAATGTCAGAGAGGCAGAGAGGCAGAGATTCAGAGAGGCGAAGAGATATTCCCTGTAGATAGAGGCGGCCCCTGTCCCCTGTCCCCTTTCCCCTCCACTCTCTGCCGATCTCCGCCTCTACCTTCCACTCTCCACTCTCTACCAATCTCCTACCTACCACTGACATGTGTCATGGCTCCATGGACATGGGGCATCTAAAAATCAGCATATGAAATGGTAGGTATTTTGCTTTTTGTATCCAAACCTCAAACACGTGCGGCACAAGCCACAGTACTCGGAGTGCTTTAATCGAACTTAATTATGGCCATTAACTTAACGTTTTTGTTTTCTTCTTCTTCTTCTCCTGACGTATGTGTTTCTTTCGAAGGTCGTTCCATTGGGGAGTTGGAGACTTGGGGAATGGCAATGGGGAGGCCTTGTTCATGACTCTCTCGCGGGGCGAGCATTTGCATCGATTAAATTAAATGTAGATAAAATAGAAATAGAAATAGAAACACACTCCACACTCCACTCGTTTATTGCTCGCCTCGCTCGGTCGATTCATGGCCCGGCCTCAGAAAAAAAAAAACAAGTTTTCCTCGAACATTTCCATTTCCATTTAAACTTGGAAACATTATACGCCTTAACCGGCTGATTGGTTCCGATTGGAAACCAAAACTCTTGGGGTTCCTCAACCCTCGAAAAGCGGGGCGACTGTGTTTATGGGAATAACGCCTCCGATAAAACACCTAAATAGATCCGACACGACTCCTCGTTATGGCCGAGGGAGCCACGCCTTTTGCCGGCATTGAACTTCAACCTCTTAAAATATTCAAATTGTAGATAAAACGAAAAGCGGCAAAGGTTTTGCCGCTCCACAAACAATTGATAGGCCCTGAAATGGGGCCCCCGTCAAAAGATAAATCATCTATGAAATGCATTTACCAGAAGATTCACTCAAAAGCAGAGGCAGTCCCCAGAAAAGGCCTGCCCCAAGGAGTTGCGAGTAGTTTCCCCACAAAGAAAATGCCCGTACCTGAAGTTTCCCCAAAGAATAATGCCTATAGGAGTAGTTTCTCTTAAAATCTTTAGAGAATAAACGAATAAAAGAAAGAAATAAAGGAAAAACAGTAGGGAAAACAGGTAGGACTCAGGAACAGAGGGACATCAAGTGGAGGAGTGCCATCAAAAAGTGCCATCACTTTTTATTCTTTCTTTTCAAGGAATTACTACAGATTGCTCTTCCCTTTTCTCCGCCTGGGGATTCCTTCAGGTAGTTCTTTTCCCTACGAAGGTGCGCCCTTTGTCTCGGTTCAACCTCATAAACCCCCGTACAAATGTGATCTGTTTCAATCGGCTCGAAGGGTTTTCGTGCCGTTTAATTGCGTGTTTCGTTTCGGGACTTAAAGGTAATTAAATTGATACATATTTCATGTCCAAGGAATGTCGAAAAGGAATGCGGAATAATAAGGAATTATATGGTCAACGCCTCAATAAACAATACACGAAAAAAGAACTACACCCTAAATGAAGAGAGAGGGAGAGATCCTATAACATAAATAAAAAGGAGCGGAATCGTACACTGGAAAAAAGGGGAGTGTAGGCTTCACTGTAAATAAAAGGCCAAGCGGAATCCTAAACCGTAAATACAAGCGGAGACAGAGCCGGTCCGAGCCGTGCCTCGAAAATAATCAAGCAAATTCCTTAAGGCTTAGACGCTGGTCAGCAGGAAAAGATCGAATGGCAACGAACCCAAATACCAGATACCAATACCCAGACGACATTCGAGCATCGCTCGAATCACATTTCATGGCGGAAAATCTGGAGCAAAATCCATATCAATATCAGACATACGCGTAGATCTCGTTTCAGTCTCGTTTACGGAACAGACATCAAAGTTTTAGCGATAGTACGGCACATAATCTTTCGAATAATTCTGGAAAATATGTCGCATTTTTTGGGGGAAGGGAATCATCCGCTGTCGTCTGCCGTTGATGTATGACTCTGGGAGCCTTATCGAAAGTGGAGGTGCCTGCCTGCCTGCCTGCCGGCCAGCCTGCCTGCCTGCTTGCCCCACAGATCATTTGTCAATGTGTCAACTGTTGCTATTGTTTCTGGTGTCTGATGTTCTCTCCTGCCCCTCCCCTCGTGTGGCATCTTCCGCATCGTCTCGTCGCATATTTGAAATCTGAGCAATGAAAATTGAGTAATACCCTCACGACCGAGCGGCCAGGGGCAGGGGCAGTGGCAGGGGCAGGGGTAGATTGGTTAGCCGAGATTAGCGGGCCGAGTGATGCGGCGTTTTATAATGGAAAGAATAAGAATGATGGGGCATGTTAAGGGGATTGGCTTTTTGCCTTTGAAAACGGGAGAGGCGCAGGGGCAGGTTCATGCGATGGAAAGATACATTCATACAAACTGTGGAATGTATCTTTTGACAAGGCCGGTAGCTAAGAGGGAATGCAGATCAAGATTTGCTGTTAGAATGGAAAGGTCAAAGAAAACCCAGATCTTAGAAGCTTTAATTAAGGCTTCGAGCTTTCGAGCTTTGAAATCAGCCGAAAAAAGCAAAATCTTCAGAGGTTTAAAGGTGATCAATAGACTTCAATTTGAATCCATTTTTTAAGCCTTAATCAGCCTTTTAGAAAGGTATTTCTTCCTCTTTAAATATTATTTTCCTTAAGTTAATTGATATTTAATCCCTCAGCAGATGTATTTGCACAGATAAAAATGTTTTTTAAGATTAAATCTGCTTTAAGATAGATATTTCTTCTTCAAAAGTAATTAAAATTTATATTTTCACTACTTTAAACATTATTCTCTTTAAATTTAATAGATCTTACAGCTATTTCTACAGCTTTTCACCGTTTAGCTTGTTATTTAAGTTCAACATTAAAGTGTCATTGAATGAATAGCAACAGTAATTGAGTAATGTCTCATTAATGTAATGAAATTAAACCATTTTTGGTTAACGAATTTCTGTGCTCTTGACACCTGAAGAGTGTCGTCACCTGTCGCACCGAAGCAGCCAACAGAAACAGTGAGAGAAACCTTTCACAATGGTGCCCCATACCCCCCATTCCCCCCCATACCAATTGGTTATACAATTCAACATTTAATAGTAAATGGCTGTACCGAAAAGGAGACTTAACATTGAACCATGGATAATTTCACACGATCCGCCGAAGAGAGACGGCCAGAGCCGCGCAGAAAGAGAGGAAAAGACAGCCCAAAGAGCTGGAGAAAGAGAGGAGGAGAGGTGGGAGATGGGGGATGGGACACCCACCTTTTTTTCCCCCAAAAGACTAATTGCAGGTGGGCCCTGGCGTTGGCGTTAGCGTTTTTTCTGCTCTCATTGTGGTTTTGATTTACGTTCAAGTATTATTTTGACAACAGGCCCAAAAAAGAGACTGCCAAAAAATCATCAATCGAGCGACGTTTTGTGCAAATCATTTACCAAATTCGAAAATTGGGTTAATTGTAAAGCTCGTAGACTTCGAGCGGGACCCTTTTGGTGGCCAAAGAATATATATTTGTGGCATGAAAGTATTCAAAGCGAGAGAGAGAGAGAGAGAGAGGGAGGCGTAAACCGATATGCGAAGCCTTGAAAGTGCATTTGGGTTTGCGGTTTTTAGGCCCGCGAGACCGAATGAAAGTCATCCATTGGCTGAATGGTTGAGTAGATCCGCAGAGAGAGGAGAGATGCTATAGAATGGCGATTAGAATACAGAAGAGAGCTAACAGATACGCTCAGGTGGGTAAGTGGGCAAATGGATCAGGTTTTAAGAGTTCGAAATCGATTAGAAGATCAGAAAAGTAAACAACAGCAGAAATTATACAAAAATTGAGATTTAGAGAACAAATAAAATAATAGAAGTAATAATAATACAGAAAAAACGTTAAAATGGTAGATAGAGAACATGAATCCATCAGAAATCCAGCCAAGAATCATCTTTATATGCCCAGCTTTCATCGAAGATTAAAAAATAAAGAAGAACCAAACCCACTACGATTTTCACTTCATTAGTTTAACTTTTGTGTAGAGAATGGACCACCGTTAAATAGTTTCTTCTGTGGCTGTGGCTGTGGCTGCGGCTGTGGCTGCGGCTGTGCATTCTTTTCATTTTGGTATTTTCTGTAATTTACTTTGATTAAATGCATTGATCATTAAGCGTTCTTTTCGTTGGATCGTTGGTTCGTTTCGTTCGTTCTGCCCAAACGAAAACTAGTTTCTAGAACGGACCCACAGACCCCGAAAGATAGCGGCAGCTTCCTGCCGTCAAAGCCGAAACCGAACAAAAATCGTTCGCTGAAGGTAAGCCACATTTTCGAACAAAACACACAATGAACTAGAGGAGACACCTGCTGCTGGTCCAAGTCCAAGCCGTTAGCTGCCGCCAAACACAATGGACCCCAGAGTCCAAGTCTTAGTCTCTGCCCCAGCCCCGAGCCTCTGGGTTGGCTGTGTGGTATGCAACCTGTAGATATGCCGCTTTATAATTGCATGAACCGCTCGCTCGGCTGCAGCAGGCTCGGCGCCTGACCCACTTTATTCACCAAAAACCAAACTCTTTGTGTGTGGAAAAGCCCAGAGTTCTGCCGTTCTGCACCCGCAGCACAAGACAGTCATTGACTTTGTTTGTTTAAATTAGTGGCGAACCCGCATCGGAGAACATTTTAAACTCTGATGAACTTTAAAATATATTTTCCACAAAGTAAACCTTACTTTTCCATCAAAAATCTACACCATTTGAATTTTTCAGTCACAGAAAATTTCGTAAACCCCCTTCTCTTTATCCTTCCCCAAATGGACATTTTTTTGTAATAATTTTTTTTTTTTTTTAAATTTTATTTTTCTGCAAAATTATGGAGGCATTGCGCAAAAGGATCTCGGGCTTTTTCTTCAAGGCACAGCCATCGAATCTCGAGGAGCCGAATCCCCAGGAAATACTAGATTTCGTGGAGAAGCAACGGCGAGAGGAACACGAGAAATCCTTGGACCAGATCCGGTCTGTGTCTCATCGTGAGGCCGCAACAGATTCCCTGGATAAAACCGCTTCCGAGGAGCAGTCCCCGGAGGAGGGTTTTCATTTGCGGAGTTTCTTGTGGCAGCGAGAGCCCAAGGCATCCAACTCGAAAGCCATCGACTATCAGCTGGAGTTTGTCAACTTTGTGGAGCGCAATTCCCCCCGGGGTTTCCCCCAGAAGCTCAACGATATGCTCCCATACTTGGGCACTGGCTTCGTGGCCTGGCCATCCTTTTGGATGTGGCGCGGCTACCAGTGGCAGCAGAAAAGGAATACGGAACGGATAGTTTTCTATATACAAAGGGTGAGTGAGATCCATAAAAAAGTATCTTAAGAGGCGGTTCCCGTGGTGGGATATCGAAAAAAATCCAACGAAAGTTGAAAATAACAGAAAATGATGGAAAATACTACGAAGTATCATAAAATACCAAATGCTGGTATTTTCTGGGCTTTTACTTGCGGTTACTTTCTAGAAGTTAATGGTATTTTCGTGGTATTGTATGTCTCTAGGAATTTCTGTTATTTTTCATGTATTTTTCCTGGTATTTTTCTGGTATAGCACTCCATCGAAGTCTGGAGTGACTAAATACTAATCTATTCCTTCTTTTTAAAGACCTATCAACAGGCGAAACTCCTTCAGGTGGCCATCCTGGCCACAGGTCTCATGATGTCCTTCACTGGGCACCATTCCGGGAACATACTGAAGGTCCACGATGTCGACTTTAAGAACAAACAAAACCAGGATACCGCAAAATCGGACTAGACCCGCAAAGTAAGCCTGGCATTAGAACTCCCTTGTGACTGTTCCATCAGATATTTATTTAGCATCCAAAAATTGTACAACCCAAAGATAAAAATCATGGGGCTCTGGAGCTATCTTGGGAGAGTGAACCAAATCTGGCGGCCTGTGGCGCCCCCAGCACCTGAAACCCCAGAGGCTACACCCAATTTGGGCGAGAAAATACGAGAGGTGGTGAATGACAAGGCCTTCGAGAATGCCTACGAATCGGCTGCCCCCTTTGTGATGGCCAGTTTGGGCTCCTGGCCGGGCTATTGGCTCTACAGGGGACTCGACTATCACACGCACAGGGCGCACATTCCCCTACGCATCTACATAAACCAGGTAAGGCTATGAGATAACTGCGATTGAAATATACTCTTGTAAACTCAATGATTCCTCCTGCACTTTTTAGACCTTTTATCAGGCCAAGATACTGCAATTCGTCATCATTCTGGCTGGCACCTTTACTGTGATCACCAACCAGCGTAGAGCTCGCTAGAAGATGGGGCAAGCATGGCAGCTCCCAAAGGATACCACAGAAGCCCCAGAACGGCTAGCGAGGCTTTCGTTTTGGCATAGAACTTCCATAAAAACAAAATCCAATAAGAAATCTGACAGAAAATAAATAAATTTTAAGTGAATTTAATCAGACAAATCATAGATAATATCTTCTATTGCGCTTTTTAATTTTGGGTTTTTAATTCTCTTTAAGATTCTTTCGTTCTTTTCGTTCTTTGCGTTCTGTGCGCCTAAATCTGAGTTCGATTCCTTGTTAATTTCTTCACTGATGATTGAGCTTTTGGCAGATTCTTCAATGGTGATCGAGTCTTCAGTCGATGTTGGGTTCAATTCCGAGACATCTAATGAGTTGTCGGCCAACCCTTCGCTAGGAATTTCGTCTATCTCCAGTCCAGTGTTGGAGCTCGAGTCTGCGTTCAATCCTTGATTGTCAATCAAGTCAGAGCTCAATTCGTTGCTGGCCATTTCGTCTATCTCCAGAACAGTGCTGGAGCTCGAGTCTGCGTCCAATCCTTGATTGCCAATCAAGTCAGAGCTCAATTCGTTGCTGGCAATTGTTAAAGAATCACTCTCCGTTTCGTTATCTTCCGGTGTCACAGTCCCCGATTCGACTTCCATCACCGGCAGTGATGCTTCCTGCTTCAGTGTCCTGATGATTTCCGCCAATTGCTTGGGCTGGACCCCATTCCCCATCAACTGCATGCAAATGCGGACCGATTCGGGAGCCAGTCCAGAGTTCACGCAATCGAGCATGCCGCAGAGAACATCCCAAATTCGACGGTCTTTTTCAGTATCCTTCTCGCAGATATCCGTCATGTTTCTTGGGCAAATTTGTTCGACAAATTTCACACATGAATCAATTCGGTGGAGTAACCTGTATGAAAGGGCAGGGCAGGCCTACTTTTCCTTTTTCCTTAAAAATATTCCGAATTCCGAAATATGTATGGCTGAAGGATCCTGCACTGATAGATCTTCTTCAGCCACAAAGAGAGGTGGAAACTATATAAAATGTTTCGAAATATTCTGTAGATTTCTCAGATCTTCTAGATATTTTTGGTTCATAGTAAAAAGAAAGCTACAACTTTCTTCGAATCCCTCAAAAGTCTTTAATTTATGATGGAAAGATGGTAAGCGATCTTCAAACGAAATAATTTATGTTAATCCAAGAAACTACAAATAGTTTAATGGTCGTAATGAAAATAACTATAATCTATTGATATATAGGAACTAAAAGAACTGAACTATAGAGCTACACCGAAAGGATCTTTTAATACTTTGTTTTATAAGTTATAAGAAACCCCACTCGAGTAATGATATATCATTGTTTCGTACCAGATTAAGTGTAAGACGTCTTTAGGCGTTTTTTTGTATCCCCCCGAATATCCACAGAAGCTTCCACTTTAATCTCTTCTGCCATTCGCTTCTCCAAGCATCGTTCTACTCAACTTTTGTGCCACTTTTCAGGCCCCCTTTGTTGTAACCCCCCCTCCAACAATCAAAAACCCTGCCACATAATCCCATTACCAGTTTTAATCTTCTCGGTAGCAGCGTGGCTCCGTTTTCAAGTTCAAAGTTCAGTAATGAGCTGCCACCTGATGCTGGTCTGCTCCAGTAAGCCCCTCATTCTGCAAGTATCTTTGTATCTTTTTATCTTTGTGTCTGTGATGATTGTGTGGCCGGGGGCCAGCAAGTGGAAAGATAAATTAGCTACAAATTAAACACAATTATATACGCCACGGAGAGGCGGCACGCTCCAATCTTTTTAGAGAAAGAAAGACATGCTTCACACTCTTCACCCGAAAGAAGGAAAGATACTCTCCTCAGAAAGAAAGAAGGAGAAGGAAAGAAAAATCTCCGCTGGCAAAACAATTAAAAAACGCTTATAAATGAAGATCTTTCATTGTTTTTCCACTCGGGGTGCAGTCTCCAGCCTCCAGCCTCCAGCCTCAAGCGTGTGATAAGTGCGAGCAAACACTTCTTTCTGCCCTACTCTAGAGGGTAGCAGCGTTGATTGTTGTGTGATCTATGGGCTAGCGGTTCCCATTCCCATTCCCGTGTATTCTCTCACCTGTATGAGATACATTTTGCAGCGGCTGTATCTTGTATCTTGTGTCTTGCGTCTGGCACTGTGTATCTGTGTAGCGCTTGTTCCGTTTCGAATGCTAATTATGCAGCAAACTCCTGTGGCAGCTGCAGCACCTGATGCAGCAACTGCATCTGAATGATGCTGTTTTTATCGTTTTGCTCTACTTCGAATGCAGTTCACTTTTGATTGCTCGAATTCCTATCGAGTTTATCGTGCATTACCAAACAAACAAAGTAAAAAACGTACGAAAACTCAAATGTTCTTTCTGCTATGAAAATCTCACAAACTTCACTTGAAAGCGAAGCAATTTCCAGCACTTTGAAATGAAAATTGTTTGTTCTTGTCGTCGGCTAAGGGGTTGCTCTTCGGTTTCGGCCTTGTCTTATTGTACAGTCTTTATATAGTCGGGCTATATAAACGCAATTAGTCATCGGCACGTAAGAAAAACGTAACAAAAGTTGGTTAAAAAAACGAAGGAAGTGCTTGTCGGTTTTCCTTGGGGGGTTGGCTTCCAGAGAGAGGGTTGATTGGTAGCACACTTTTTTGTATTTGTTGTCGTTGCTGACCCTCGCACTATGGGAACTATACTCGTATTTGTTCACTTATATTTCACATGAAAAAATTCCTTCACAAGGTGCCTTCTTCGCACACACAAAATCGATCAAACAAATGGCGCGGCACAACAATCCATTGGAACGTAAGGCGCAATCTATGGACAATTGAGGCCCATTCTATGCTAAATCGGAGGCACAATCAACTTTCAACTTGGCGGCACCCAAACGCCTTCTTGATTATTTATTTTTATATTATTTGTTGCATTTGTTACAATTATTTGTACAATTATTTACAGTTCGTCGGTTTGTTAACGGTTGTCGGGTGCTTCAGTGCATTTTAGTTTTGGATTTTATTTTTTTTGATTTCGACCATTTCGTTAGAGTGGAGGGCGCGAAATGAATTTTCAAAATATCAGTTGAGGAATCTGTTTGCGTTTAACAGGTTGTTTCCAGCAGCATGTTAAACAACATGGCATGCTGCTGGAATTCCATGCACATGGTATATTTACACTAGGTAAGGACCGTTCAGCGCAGAGGCTATTATGGAGGGGTGTGACTTATCCTCTACGATGTAGAGCCAAAATAAAAGCCGAAATTTGAAATTATTTAGGTCAGCAGAAATAATTTCAAGTCTACTCGTTGTATAAATTTGCTAAAATCAATCGTAATTCAATCTTAAAACAACAAATGTACTTATTTATTTAAGTTCATTGTTAAAAGTTCATTTGATACTCTTTTCAAACATTTAGTAGCTGCTGAAATATTTAATTAAATATTGGCCTAAACGGCTAAGAAAACATGAGTGAAGGACACCTTAAAGAAATACAAGTGTATATATAAATTTCAGCCACCCAAATCCTGTTAACATTGCCTTCTGTTAGCTAACAGTTACCTAATTCTGTTAGGATGTAAAATGTTAAGCGGCTTCCAGCCATGTTAAGTCGCTCTCTCTTTCTCTTTCGTGTGGATTGGATTCGCGTGTGCTGTGGACTGCAACCAGCTCATACTCGAACATGTTGCATGGCATGGAAATATTTCTGATAGCCGTGCAACATGCTTGAGAGATATGCTCGCAAGATTCTTTTGGGGCCTGAAATTGGCTTTGACATTCGGAATTTGGACTATTTACGTGGCATAGAGGGGTGCCAGGGGGTAGTGGAGAATACCAGGGGCAATGGGGGTGCGAGAGCTACTGTGGGAAGCCGGCGCCCACTTGGAATCTACTTAATTTGTTGATTATTCCGGAATACGAAAGGAAAGTGGAACAGAAATTGGTCTTAATAGAAGCTAAATGAATTAAATAGGTGATGGGACCCCAGGGGAGAGGCCCCAGGCATCCGACATCGTTTGGGGTTCTACTTAAAGAGATACTTTCTTGGATTAGAAGCCGGAATTTATGGCATATGGCTGGAAGGGGCTTAACCCGGAAGATAGAAGCTATTTATGGATTTGAGAGAGCTTAAGGTCCAAAATATTCCAATCGAATGCCTGAGGATCAAATTCCATTTTGTGCCAAAAAGTAGAGCAAGGAAACCATCTAAAAATTACACTTTCTTCTGCAACGCCAGCGCCACAGCTCGCCAAAAAGCGGATTCCCCTTTACAATCGCCAAACTTTTACCTCCATCGGTGGCACAGGCAGCCACCGCCCCAATCCAAGGCCCAACCTAATCCGAACTTCAAAGCCCCAAGCCCCACACTCATCCGCATATCTCTCTCTATCTCTCGCTCTCTGTGGCTTGTGGAACGCATTGCAACAGGTTCGCGGCGGCATACAAAAAAAAAAAGTCCGCAAAAGGGAAAAAAACAAGAGGGGGCCCCCATAATAATTAATACCGATCCGCCGATCGGCCGACAGACCCACCGAAACCCATGCGAAATGCGAAAAAGAAGGAGGAGTAGGAGTAGGGGAAGGGGTGGGGGTAGGGGTAGGGGTAGCAGGGGGGAGAAGTGCGTAAATAAAATAAAGAAAAACAGGAAATTTTGTTGTGCGGCAAAAGGCTGTTGCAAGATGTAAGATGCAAGATATTTCATAACCTGTCAACGAGAGTGCGAGTGCGAGAGAGAGAGAACGAGAGCGAGAGAAATGACAAAACTGCGGATGGATCAAAGTGGTGGAAAAGTTGGGAAGATCTCAATCAAATATGGGGGGGGAAATAGGGGAAAATTTACAACCAAAAATTAGAAGAAAAGAGATGAAAATTTCAGCCAAAAATTAGAAGAAAAGAAATGAAAATTTCAGCAAAAAACTAGAAGAAAAGAGATGAAAATTTCAAACAAAAATTATGGAAGAAATTTCTTCTAAATTTCATTTAAATATGATTGGAAAAAAGGGCACAAATTTTCTCCTAAAAATGAGTGGGGAAATCTCTCAAAATACGAGGGAAAATGGGATAATTCACACCCAAAAATATCCCACCTGAAAACCTAGTCAGAGAAAAGCCTGAAACCCAAATCACATCTCCTGCTCTCTCTCTCTCTCTCTCCCTCTCTTTCTCTTTCTGTAAATGAAAATGAAATTGAAACTCTGGCGCTTCGATTTGGCCAATTTGTTGTGGCGCGGCTGGCTTTTGGCCATGCCTGCCTGATCTTCTGGCATCTTGTGGCATAAATGTGTGGCACCCCGTGATAAATGCATCGAATCAGAAAATGAAACAACAACAACAACAAAGAAGCAAAAAAAAACAACCTGCAATCAAGCAAACGAAAGTGAAACAAAAGCGCCGCACAAACCAGAGATTGCGAGAGAGGAACGAAAGAGCGCAGAGAAAAAAACTTGCAATTTCCATTTTAAATACGCAACAACTTTCGGCTAGAGACAGGCCTTCCTCCATATCCTACAGGGAGAGGGGCAGAGGAGGAGGTAGGACCAGGCCCAAGCCAGAGCCAGAGCCAGAGCCATAGCCAGGGACCCAGTGATAGAGCCAGACATAAACAACCCAAAAGACTTGGCTTACAGACTCTCCTCAACGCGACTGGCAGTCGACTCGACTGTTTGTTGTCTGTGGATCGTCTGGCTCTTGATTGGAGGCTGCCCCAAAGCATAAAGAGCTGCCCCCAAGAGCAGGGGGAATGGGAGGAGATCCCTGAAAGCAGGAGGAGACACCAGAGGGAAGAGAAAAGAGCCCTGAAAGCAGGAGGAGACCATCCATGAAGTAGAAATCTGTAGTCTGTGGAGTCTTTTCGAGTCTTTGGAGTCTGCTGTCTGCCGTCTGCTGTGGCGCACGGGGGTATGTCATCAACATAAATTTCATTTCGCATTCATCATAATTTTCATGCATTTAATTTGTATCATAAATTGTCTGCTTTCTGGCTTTTAGAATCTAGTAAACGACGACTCAACGGAACGGCCTGGAACTGCAGATTGCAGATAGCAGATACCAGATTGCAGATGAGTTTCGAAGTCCATAAAAGCCAGAGATCCAGAGATACGAAATCTTCAATTAGTTTCGAGTGGGTGGCATCATTGCAGGAGAAGGAAAATGCCAAAGGAAAAAATACTTCTCTGGTAGAAGTTATCTTTAGGTTGTTTACGATATTCCTGAATTAATGTTTTGTGTGTGAAAACTTGAGGAGAAGGAAACTCCTTCAGGGAGTGTTCTTTTGTTCGCCTATATATCTTTTAGAACTGCCGGGGGTTTCTTCCATTAGTTCTCTAAAACAGCTTTTTAAGTGGCTTTTACTTTCACCAAAAACATTTCGAACAGTTCTTCATTATTCTCTCCATATTTATTCCAAAAAAGGTCTAAAACTTCTCGCTTCAAGTCTTCAAAAAATACTCCAAACTCTTCTGTTTTTTCCTCCTCAAAGTTCTTCGAAAAATCTCGAAAATTCTAGCAATATTTATCCCTAAAAAAGGCCCACTTTTCTCTATAGTTCTTCCAATCAAACCTCCAAACCTCCCTCAAAGAATTCCCTGTATTTCGGAGCCTTTTTTCTGCCATTTCGTGTAATATTTTCACTTTCACTTTGCCAAAAGGAAAACGTTCAGCTGGAAAACAGGGAGGTTCATTGATCATCACGCACTTCTGTTTAAACATCAGGCAGGTCTTCAGTCAGGCCGTCAGCTAATTGACATCCCTCTGGAGAGAGAAGACATTAACCCAACAGATAGTAGATTTGCAAATGAGCAAAAGGCACCACACACCGCACACCGCACACAGACATGTTTGAGATACATTGAATATGAGCAGCAGCAGCAGCAACAAAGATACTCGACGCACACACGTCTCTGAATGTTGTACAACTATCAATAACAACGAAACAACACAAGATAGAGATACAACAGACAAGTGGCATGAGGTACGAGGCATGAGGCAAGAGCCAGCAGACGACTGTCTGGAGACTGGGGTTTTTGAATGGTTTGTTGTTTTCAGTTTGGGTTAAAGATCGTTAGGCGCGACAAGAGGTCATCAGGTAAAGGAGAGATGCCCACGTTAATGAGAAGGAGACAAGACCCAAGAGATGTGCAGGCATACGGGCAGGGCAGGGAATGAGGCTCAAACTGTGGCCGCAACTGAGACTGAAGCATCCTACCTCTGCAGCGGAATATCTCACAGGTTCACAAGTGTTTTGTGGTCTCCTCTCTCCCTCTCCCTCTCTCTCTCTGTCGCCCTACCTCAAATGAGCCAATAATTTCCATGGTCTCGCCATTTCGTAATCATTCGAAAATTGATTGGGAAAATCCATTATATGAATCATTTGTCATTTGGGATGCGCTTGCACATGCTAAT